CTACTTCTACTGCTGCTACTTCTACTACTACTACTAACTACTACTACTACTACTACTACTCCTGCTGCTGCTGCTACTACTACTACTACTACTACTACTACTATTGTTAGTACTATTAATACTACTAGTACTACTAGTACTACTAATACTAATTACTAGTACTACTGGTACTACTAGTACTACTACTAACGGCTAACGCAGAATCATGTTTGAAGGCATTGCGCGGCGTGATCCTTTGCACACGCGGCGCAACTCCCATTGGCTCAAGGGTCATGAGCTGCAACAGCGGAAGAGTCTGCCTAGCGACGGTGTAAAGCGAAGCTGCGGCATGCCGGCTCGGCACTCACGGCCATGCACAGAAAAATGAATGGTACTAGTGAAACTCAGCTCGCCTCAGGGGTGTATTGACCGCCCAAACCACCGTCCACACTCAAATACCTAGCCACTCTCATCTCCTGAATTCGCAAACATAAACGACAAATGCCAAACCAGAACCCCTCTCAAGCTTACCTGGAGACCTGGAGGCCCAACCAGAACCACTCCCAAGTGGTGCCTCGGCACCAGGGCAGACCTCAGCCGTGAGGAGGCCCAGCCTGGGCTCTTCGTCGGAGCTCTGAGTCCAGGGCTTCAGGAGGAGTTGGACCAGCCCTGTCTCAGTCTCTGGTGACTACACCGCCAAACAACAAGCCACGAGGCCTCTACCAGGAACCAACCCACTCAACTCCCAGCCCTGGCACTCTGGGGACACCGCAGAAGCGCTTCGGTTCCCACTTGCCTCTGCGGCCGGTGTGTTCTTAGCTCCTTTTCATGCTTTGAGTGGGAGAGCTTTGAGTTCGGTCCGAGGCCGTGATGTGAAAGCTACAGAACTTCAAAGTTGAAATCAACTTGTCGGCCCGATGGCTCGAATCCCGGACATATAACTTGAGGCCCTGGTATCTGAAGGATATGGAAAAAGGCTGTCCTGCCCTCAAACCGTAGACTTTCGAGCGGATTGAGGCTCACCTGCAGAGAGGTCCAAGTCAGAGCCGAGGTCTTGATAAGTCAGCGGCTTTGTCACAGAACTGAACCCCAACCCCCTGCGAAGTCTGCAAACAAAAATCCGGGCCCACTAGCCCCAACCGAATGACCATCTGTCAAAAATTGGTAATTAAGTTCCAGCAAGATGCGCTTGCTTCAGCTCCTTCGCCTTCTTTTCGGCCTGCATGCTCGGGTTCCCAGTTAACCAAGTTGCTACCATCGTCGGCCATGTTTTCTTGACAACAACATGACAGCACTGGGCTATAACATACGCTTTGGTCAATCGACTGCAAAGCAATGGCTAACCTAAGCTTGAAACCTTGACAACAAAGCCCCGGCGTGGTGTGGGTGACGAGATCCGAAACATCAGTCAGGCCGTCGATGGCTTCGTCGCACTTCGCAGCCGGGAAAGGGTCGCCAGGGTACATCCCAGTGAGATGTCCCACATACCATGCAGCATGCATGCATGGGCTTGCATTCATTTCAGCACTCCCGGCACACCAAGGCCGGAAAGGTTCCGAAGGTCAGGGCCCCGGATGTGTACAAAGTCCAAAGCTGGTCGTTGGACTTTCCTATCACTTTGGCTAAGGAAGTGCTGAGAACACAACTCTTGAAACCCCCAGACGCCAGGCCGAAGATGCATCTAAAACTACGTATGACAGGCGGATGGTTTGAGGACATCTGAAGCTGCAGGCTCAGGGCTGTAAGGCCTGACTTCAGGGTTCGGAGTTTAAGGCTAGAGCAGTTTAAGGCTCCGGGCTTTGTTTCTGCATTCGTACAAAACCATGCAGAGCACTGTAAACGATCTGACCGGAGCCGTTTCCGTGTTACCCCCAGGGTCACAACTATCCCAACCCACACCTAGACCTTAACCTTAAACTAGAACCTGAAGGTCCTCAAGCCCTCAAACCGTCAAACCCACTGAAACCTCCGAGCCCCAAGCCTTTCTTCACAGAAAGCCGCAAATCCGAGCCCAGCCTGACTGAGAACCAGGATGAGGTCGTCACTGAAGCAGGCCTCAACTTTCGACACGACGTCAGCTGGGGCTTTGGGACTTAGGAAGCTCAGGTTGCGTAACAATCGGACTTTTGTGGGCCAGGCTTTGGTTGAGGTCTGGGCAGCGGGACAGCAAAGGTCCTTGCTCCGGGCTCGAGGGCTTTTAAGGGCACAAGGGAATTTGCCCTTATCCAGGCGAGGCTGCGGAAATTCACACTTGGCACTTCCAGGCTGTAGTCAGCGACGGAACTAGGCGTGCCTTATGACAGCTGCGAAGCCTTGCAGCAAGGCTGTATGTCCTAGTCCCTCATCTAAATCAGCAGCCCATATACACCCACGGCATTCTCGACTATGACCTCGTAAAGAAACGGAACTTCTAGGCCGCCCAAATGCGACCAGGTGGCGTAGTCCGGCGTCGCCTCCTCCACACGGGATTTGGCAGTGAGCGCAACGTAGTGCCGCCTTGTGAGAAACGGAAAACAGCACGCAGCATCGGATGCCAGGATGTCAAGAAGCGATTCGTCTGACACGTTACCTCGGCTCGAAGTTTTCATCCAAAGAACCACGTGGCATGCCTCACACGCGCTAAGATGCGCTACGCTGCAAGCCCGGTATGCAGAGCACCATCGAGAAGAGCTGCTCGCTCATTACCATTGTCATCATCTTCATCTTCGTGACCATCGTCGTCGTCACAATCATCGTGAGCGACGTCATCATCGCTATCGTCAAGCACCGCCTCAACAGTGACAGTTGTTGTCATCCTGGCTGATCCTTTCGTGCAGGCAGGCTGAGGTGGTAATTGAGGTCCAACAAGGCCGCGCCGACTTGGTGCAGATGCTGTGCGGGATGAAGACACGGGCAAAAGAAACAGGGCATGACATAACAGTAACATGGCGTGACTGCTTTGATGCCACTACTGACACCTCACTGAAAGCACGGCTGTGAAAGAGGGTAGCTTGTAAGCATTGCTACAATCCTCGAGTTGTCAGAACAGGCCGGGGTTTAACGGCTTGCCAATCAGACAACAAGACTAATGACTGACTAAACAGCTAGCTCTTGATGTGAAGCTGAGGTCCTATCCGATCCGAAGTCATTCGCCTGCCTTGATCAACATGACCCAGACCCCAGTATGAACGCCTTCGACATCCTCAACTGCCGCAAATCGCGCAGTTCCTGGTGCGCCCAATGCCAAAGCCGCACATAAGGCTGCGAACAACACGTATGCCACAAGCCTTAAAGCTTCAGACCCACAAACCCACCCAAACCCACAGCGACAGCTGTCTGCCCCTCCTCCGTTTCCCTCGCCATCTTCGACATCTGGTCTCCTGTTCTAGGTAGGATTGCGGATTTCTTGTTCGGGCCTGTCGGAAGTTTATAGGGGGTTCCTCTTGGGTTTTTTGGGTCGGGTCTTAGTTAGGTGGGTGGTTGGCTCCTGTCTGTGCGGGGGTTCGTGTAGCGAATGTTCAGCTCCTCTCCAAGAAGAAGTTGTCCGAGCGAAGAATGGCAGCACGAAAACAAAGACCCTTCAAAGAGAGGAAGAGCAACCCAACAGCTCCAGGGTCGTCAACACTCCCCACAAAGACAACCCGGAGGATGCAGCACGAAACCTAGTAAATGATTTGGCCAATGCTCAGAACCCTCGAACCCAAAGTACAGTCGTCAAGCTCACAGCTCTTTCTGCGCAGCAGCTCACTCGGTGCCCTCTGCACCTTGGCTTCGTGCCGGGATGTTCTAAATCAACGCCCTTTTGGGTGGCCTGAGACCTCAAGTATAGAACAGCTCGGGTCTTCTTGGTGGTGTGAATGCTGGTTTCTGTAGGGAAATGAACTCAGAGCCCTATAATCAAGCTTATACCAACCCTGATAGACAAGCGGCGCTGGAGCACCGACTTCACGGCCGCTGCCCCGAGCTTGGGCGAGCGGTAGAGGCTGAAGACCCCCTTGTTGTTCAGGCCTGGTTTAGGGTTTAGGGTTTATAGGGTTTAGGGTTTAGGGTTTAGGGTTGTTGTTCAGGCCTGGTTGTCGATGTCGGGTTTACGCTCTCCCGATCACAACTCGGACAAGTCAGGCGAGGTCTCTGGGTACGTGGTCGGAGTTCATGTAGGGTTTCGACTCACACTCTCGCAAACGCATTGACGGTTGCGGGTTGGATGATGATGCTGCGGTGTTGTATGGCATTGTAGGTGCTGTTGGCCGCTCAGGGAGGTTCCTGGGATCTGAATTCTAGTGGCTGCGGTTCAATGAGGTCAGACTTCGGCACGTGAGCGGGTTTCGTGGCCAATAGCATCACAGGGCCCTCGGGGTGGTGACCAGGTATTGTCGCAGCTCGGGAGCCAACCGGCAATAGAAGCTAGTCTGAACAGCATTTTTTCAGCTTCGGAACGGGCCCAGCACAAGCGCCGCGCAATGTCAGGATTGACAGTCTGTCGTATTCTCAGTTGGTCGTGGTCTTCCTGGCAAGAGTACGGCAACCTCTGCGATAGTCCCCCAATTCCAAGCCTTCAAGTTCAGGGTCTTTTTTTTACCTTGGCAGCTATAACCAAAAATTACCAAAAAAAGCAACCCGAGCCAAAGTGCCTCGCGGGCGATGCTGCTCATCACTCCTCGGTCGCTCCGGAGGGAGTCATGTCTCGACTTCTTGGGCCTTTGTTGGTTTTTGACTCTCTCGCACAAGGCAGGCAAGGCTCCACACAAGGGCTTGGGTTTAGAGCTTCTGGTTTATTCTGACCCAGGCTCACGCTGCGGTCGACGAGGATGTCGGCGAACTGCCACAGAGAGATACCTCACGCTGACAGCTCGAGCTTCCACACACACCCTGACCCGAAAGCCTGAAACCCTGCAGAATACGTCACGAAGCTGCATACAAGGAATCAAAAAGCGGCAGGCGTCACTGCAAGCCAACACGAGCAACACACGCTCCCATTGCCTGCGATGTGAGGGTTCGTGGTGACAGAAGACAGATGGGCGCCAAGGACCAAAGCCTGGCAAAGGACCAGAAAGGATCGAATGGCTTTTTCTAGATGACGCTTGAGAGGCTTCGGGTGTAGAATTCTTCAACTCTGCTTTCTGGGAGTCAGGGCTTTGGGCCCAGGAAAGGGGGGCAGTTGCCTAGCTGGTGTATAAAATCGGAAGCAAGCCCGCAAAATAAACCTTGCAAAACCCTGAAAACCCTTCAGCCCTATTATGACCTCCCGCCCATTGCAAAACCTGTTAACCAAGTATCCTCAAACCCTGACAACTCTCACAACCTGCTGAGAAAGCGTCCAAGCTCCCTTACACTACACCCAAGAATAGGCCTAAGGCCCTGAACCCTAAATCCAAAATAAGCCTCTTCAACCAGGAGCTCAAGCCGTAAAGCCCCAAATCCAAAACCCTCACAAAGCCTAAAAGCCCTACACTGCCCGACACCCTAAACTGTAAACCTCAAGCCTGAAACCCCCACAAGGCCTGGTACTCCTCCGTCCACTTCTGCACCACGGGGCCCCGAAATCCGAAGACACCGCCGGCCCCTGCCTCCTTGGCTGAAGGGCACTGAAAGGGGGCATCAAGTTTTGGGTTCCAGGCCAAGGGATCAATTTTTACGCTTTACGCCCTCACAACTCGGACAAGCCAGGCGAGGATCCATGGTCGGTGTGATACTGTTTGACGGTCAAAATATTCAGGGGCAGCCCAAACAGGATAATAACGAACAAGGTCACAACGAGTACCCAGGAGGCTAACAACTTGTCCCAGACAAGGTTGGTCAACACTAGAGGATCAAGTTTTAGGGTTTTCGGTCTCAAGTCTCAGGATCCTGCAGCTTAATGGAAAAAGGGGCGTGCAAACTTCAGCCTTGGACTTTCTCTGTAGCTTTGGTGGGTTCAGGGAGTGCGAGGACTTGGATTGCTCACTCACGGGCTGTACGACTTGAGCTTCCTGGTTGCCCGGCTGGAACTTGCTTTGGGCTGCAAAAGAAATTAGCAGGGTTTTGGAGCATGAAGCACCCTGTGATAAATGGACCTCTAGGCTTCGGAGACTTGATGCAGTTATGGCCTTAGCTTTCCCGCGGCTGCCGAGAAGCAGTGACAAGCATGGGCTTCTCGCCGGCCTGCAGTGGGTCCAGGCACCAGAGTTTTTTGGGGTTGCGGGTTAGGGGTTTTAGGGTCTAGGGCGAGTCTAGGAGCTGTGGGCTCAGGGTCCAGGATGCATCGGGCGGGGAGGGTGTTTCGTAGGCATTGAGGTGGCTCTCGGCTTGGCATTGAGATCACTTGGCTTCATAAAACCAGCCCCTGCTTGTGCCCAAGCGCACGCGACCGTAAAGCCGTGAACCTGGAACGCTGCATCCTGCAAGACCTCCAACACCCAATCCGAACCTCATTGAGCTCTGAGGCCATAGCGGAGAACCTCTTCTGAACACTCCCTACAAGAGAAGAACTGCAAACATCTTTCTGGGATGGCCTGCAGCGCCCAGAGCCTGACCTGCTCCCAGACGCTCGGGATCTCGTCGACCTCCTGGCGGTGTGGGGCTTTGATGCTCTTTGCTTGGACGGGCCCGGCAAGATCTTCGTAATTCTGGCAGGTGCCGCTCAGCTGGCTCTTGAGCTCTCTCCCCATATAAAACATCCGACAGCTTTGGTGTACGCCTTTGTGCACGCAGTACAACGGTCAAGAATCCCATAATTACATCAATCGAAAACGCCCCACTAGAATCAGAAGGCCAGCCAACCTGCTTGTCGACTGGCCGTGTTGTTGGGTACCACGCCAGATACCTCAGTATGAGAAACCGTGAAACAACAGCCACGTTTCTGACGATGATGTGATGATGTTGGGGATGGTGGTTGGGGGGAGGGCGTGATCATGATGAGCGGGAGAAGGGGCAAAAGGAGAAGCAGGAGGAGGAGGAGGAGAACCTCATCTATGAGGTCGAAGTACCCACCGCTGCAAGTGTCAAAGGGAAGTGCACGAGGCACATCAAGTCCAACAGTTCAAAGCCTTTCTCACAATTGACTAAGTGCACCTTGAAGTGCTTAACGTGCATTTCCGACTCCGCACATATCTCATCCCTTGACACATTCGCGAGCCATATAGTCCAGCCCAAGGCACAAGTGGAATGCGTAGACATCCACAGATCCCAGCTGCTGGTCCTGGTCCGCACGGTGGTTCGAGGCTTCGCGTGTCGAAGCTCAAAATCCCAGACGAGCTTTCAAGCCGAAATTGCCAAGGCTTCTGGGGCTGAAAGCAGTTCCCCGAATGCAGGTTTCTGCAACTACAGCTTCGGGACACCACTGTCGACCTCCGCTCCCATTTGCCAGAGAGTCCAACCCCCTAAGCCCTCTTCCAAGATACCAAGTCCTTACCTGCAAGGATTAGGCACCGAATCCTCCGAAGTACGCCCTAGTCCTGCCTTAAATTACACCGCAAGCAAATCCCCTTTGCTGCCTCCCCGGCATGGTTGGACCCGTAGCTGATCAAGCGACTCCGGCCGCTGTGCCTGGGGTAGGCTGAGACCCTGGAGTCCCCTAAACCCTAAACCCTATAGTCCAAAAACCCAGCACCGCGACGAGTTACAGTTCCCAAGCCCCAGATGCAAATTGAGCTCCATGCGAGCCCTCTAAAAGACCTGATGAATAGACACTCCTCGAAAAGCAAGACTCGAAACAAGCATCCTAAGATCAAGGAAGACGGGGAAGTCTTTTCTAGGAGTCTGAAATGACAATCACAAAGCCCGGCCTGCGCAGCTGCGCCGCCATGGACTCGTAGGCCCAAGTGGTCGCCTCCCCTTCGTCGAAGGACTCCTGGAACCCCGAACCAAGTGGTAGGGCTTCGTGCTTAGAGCTCCGCACATGTAGGGCTTTGAGATCTCGCATAGGGTGCCGAGGGATACTACAGCATGCCCACATAACCAACCGTGGGATAAGGATAGTTTAATTGCTTGTTCAGTCCTCTATGTTGCGCGCTTCTGCTTGAGTTACCATACCACTCGCATGACCGGACAAATCTTGAATTAGGATTTCGTCCAAGAGTCACCCTCGTTGAAGAAGCCGTAGAAAATCACCTCGGCCAGCCTTCCCCTCATGCTGCAGTAAAGAGAGAAAAACACTGCGAAATCTAATCATTGAAGTACACGCTCAACCGATTGAATCTGCATACGTCTGCAGAGAGCCGTGAAGCTCGAATGGCAGAATGTATGTCGGCGTGGCAGCTTCGCCCGGCAACTCGTGCTTATCTCGAAAATCTTCAACCACGACATGAAGAAAGCTTTCCGCTAAGCCCCGAACCTCAAACCCCTAAACTTTCTCTCAATCGTCTTCAGTATGGGGGGGGGGTCCCAGTCGAAGCATCTGTGCAATGAAACTTCAGCTCAGCAGCAGACGGATGGTTCGCCGACGCCCGGGCCATCTCTTCGGCCATGCCTGAAAACACCAACAAACCGGAAGCTCGGAAATAAGGGGTCTTCAGTAATCAGCATAGGGCCAGGACTATAGTATACATAAAAAGGAACAAAGTAATCAATGTGTATATACACATATATAAATATATGGAAGACACGGGCGTTTCATGATTTCTTTTGCATCCAGGACTCTTGCAAGCAGCCGGGAAATTCCACAAGACAGCGCGAGAGTTTCGTGATTCCTAAATCCTCAAACCGTGAGTTCAAAACCCTCAAAAAACCAAAGTCAGCACTTGCAAGGTGACTCGGTCCTCGAACCCCCCAATCCAAGAATTCCCCCAAAGCGTGGTATCCCCAATACTGCGAAGACTTGGGCGTGACTGCACCAAACAGTAACTTATTATAGTAGCTGTTAGGACAGGGAAGCAGAGTTTGAAAATGCCCTCGGGCTTAGACCCCATTTGCTGCTGCTGAGCCCAGATATTGGCCTAGCTGACCTAAGCCCAGAAGAAAAAACCTTCCCAGCCGGCTCACGTTATGCCCCAAGGAAGATCAGGACGCTATAACTATAACTTGTGCATGTGGGCTCTGAGGTCTATGCCACATATCCATTGCTAGAGCATTTAAATTACTGTAGTTTCCCGAGATTTTGCAAGATGACGACTCAAGACTCGCTTCAGCACTCACCCTGCCAGATGCCATGGCTGGACCTGAAACCTCAACCTTAAGGCCCTACTGTAGGATCACCAAAACCCCTTTTGCTGTGACATGGCAGGCCTTAACCGAATAAAACACACCGGAAAACCTATGGCAGGCAAACCCGAACCCCGCACAAAGCCATGAAGGCCCTGAAGAGTCTCTGATCACGAAAGGCCTCCTTGCATCCTGAATTCTAAACCGTAAGTTCTAAACATATTATAGGGGAAAAATATTTTTTCCCCCTATAATATGTTTAATTCTAAACCGTAAGTTTGAAGCCGTCAAGCCCTAAATACCCAACTTTGCCCACAGGTCTGTGGACACAGGCGAAACAAGAAGCCGTCTCACTGAGTCTCGCCGCGCGACGGAGGCTCTGGGCCATGAAGGTGGGATCCGAAAAGTCCGACACAGTGTTCTGCCATCCCAAGACTTCCTCCATGGCTTTGAGATGGGCTGAGCTTGGTCAAGCTCAAGGCTTCAGGACTTTGGGCATCTGCTGGGCTTCTCGCGTAACCGGATGCTTGCCAGGGCTCAGATTGTAGGGCAAGGGCTGCAGCGTCGCACGTTGGTTCATGAGGTTTTCGGGGTTTACTGGAGGGAGTATGAAGTTAGGCAAAAGCCGGGTTCTGGGGCGGAGCCCCTAAGCAGGAAACATCTCCTCAAGACATCTGCGGCCTCCCAAACCAGCAGGCCCTGCTCGTCGCAAAGGTCCAAGAAACGCTGATCCTCTGCCCCAAGGGGAAAAACGGAAACCAGTGCTGACACGTGAAAAGAGCACTGATACGGATCACAATGAGAAAGGGCCAACAAAAGCAAGGAGGAACAAGCCGACAACCCGTGCAACGGCAGTGCAACGGTGTGCTTGCAAAAATCCTGTCCCTTCCATGGCTTGGCGGGTGGGGCTGGATAACGCTGCGGTTTGAGTTTAGGGCTTCGGGTACACTCTTGTTAAGGAACACCTCAAGTCCGAAACCGTGAAGATCCTGCGGATAGTGCGCCCCTCGAATGAAATTGGCCCCAAGGTCTTTCCTGGGCTGAAAGGCGGGGCCCGGTCCAGCATCAAAGCAGGATACTGAGCAACAGAAGTTAATGGCCCAAGACTTGGCCAGTAGCTTTCAGAATTCAGGGCTTAGGATTTGGGTTTCAGGGTTTGGCATCCAAGGTTCCAGCACTCACTCTCGGACTTGCCTAGGCGAGGTTCCTGGTACGAGGCGAAAGCGCATCGGTCATACGAACGGCACATGTCACCGGCATCCAAGGTTTAGGTCTCAGAGCTTCTGAAGGGTCCAGGCAGTGGGGCTCAGGTCTTGCTATATGGCCGCAGCACAGCAGCAAGACGTCTGTCACCAGCTGGTCGTATGTGACCACCTGGCTCAGCTTTTTTGGGAAGCTTACTTTCCGAAGTTCAAAGCCGTAACGATCATGAGTATGATGCTTTGGGGCGGTTAACTGTAGGCCCTGTCAGCTTTAGAGGGGAAAGCCTAAGCCCTAATCGGGAGAAACAATGATGTGTCGGGCTGTTGCCACTTCTAAAATGATAAGCTGAAGTGCCCTCCACTGAACCACTCGACCGAGGAAGGCCTCAAGTGCCTGAAACCAGGCCAGAGATGCCGGGCTGTCGACCATGTCATGGCGGTTGAAGCCAAGAAGCTTCAGGGGCGAACCGTTAAGAAGGAGCTGGTCCCCGCCTGAGTCGCTGAGATTGGGAGCTTTCGGGGACTGCCGAGGATTTGGCTTATCAGGATCTGGGATTTGGACCTTGAGATGTGCGTGCTCCAGCACAGGCACAATCCGGGTTTGGAAGTGTGGCAAGGTGAGGCTCGGGGTTGTGAAATAGTAGTTTAGAGGAAGCCCTTGAAGCGTTGAGGAGACTTAGATGTAAACTATAGCAATGGTTGCAACAGGTTCGCAGCAAGTACTACGAACAGTACGTAGTGACAAACGTCTCCAGGGTAAAATAGCAACTGACTGTCCATACTAGTTGTTGTCGTCAGTAGTAACCGGCACTGTCACAATGCTACCTGGAAGACTAGAAACAGCAAGAACACACCAGCAACAGCTGCTACCAGTGATACTAGAAACAACAACAACAACAACAACAACAACAACAACAACAACAACAACAACAACAACAACAACAACAACACGCCAGCAACAGCAGTACTAAGCTATCATACTCTAATGGCAGTCATTTCCTGCCAAAGAGATTGTAAGCAGCATCACAGCTGGAAACACAAACCCATATGTCGAAGCACTGAAGATGCCACATCAATCAATGAATCAAACACCTCGAACAGTGGTTGTCAACCCTGAACCCTGAGACTACAAACCCGGAAGCCCCACCCCGAATCAGGTTTGCACAACCTAAACTCTGAAGCCCTAAGCCTGCTCTCTGACTCCTCAGACCAAGCTTCGTGTCCCCACGGTCCGAAGTCCGAAGCGAGCACAGTGGCAGTCCTCGCCAGCTTTTTGGAGAGTGCCGGAGTTTGGAGCGCGGGATATGGGCTCCGGGCAGGAAACAACCTTCCCAAAAAACTGTCAGGGAGCTGAGGTTCCAGCAAGCATCTCTTCTTCCCGGAACAAGGCCACAGAAAGGCGGTGCAAGGAGGGCGTGGTTGTGTGCCATACACTCGCCTGACGCATGGGCGATTAGGGTTTACAGCTTAGCGGTGCATCGTGCATGGCCGTCTACAATACAACATCCTAGCAGAGGAGGTCATCAGTCAGGTTGAACTAGAGATGCACAAACCTTAGACCTTGAACTAGGACGAGGATCCTGGAACAGCGGGCGCTTGGGCGACCCCGTGCTGTAAAGGGCTACGGTTTAGGGTGCAGGGCCTCCGGAACCCGAAGCCGCATCGTCGCGCCAGCAAGCAGCTCCCAGCTGGCCGCCTGATTGGAAATGGTTAGCTGTCGCCGAGGGAGGGGCAATTCAAACTGATTGCAGGCCATGCCCCTAAACCACATGCCCTAAACCGCATAGTCTGTTACGCTGTGGTACCTTTCGGAGAACTCCCAAACCCACAACTTGACAAGGGCCCAAGCCTTACAAAAGCCCCAACCACCCCAAGCCCAAAACCCTCCATTCTCCCCACACAGCCCCTAGACTCCTAGACCATCCCTCAACGCCCTCAACTATACTGCTAGCCCTCAGAGGCCCCAAAAACGCCACTTCCATGACCGGACACCTCTTTGCAGCGGCTGTCGTCATCGAAGTGGAAGCGGAAGACAAGGTCTGTCTGCTTGGCTGCAGCCGGAGACGCCTCCGGCAAACGGCTTTTAGATTTCAGGAGGCTGTTTTTTGCCGGCTCCCTGCAGGATTGAAGGCTTGGGTTTGGGAGTTCAAGGTGGTTTAATTTCTTTCCCGGATATGATTTCCAGCTTTCAGCTGTCAAGCAAGCATCAGGCCTTGCCCTGTACTCAACAAAAGCAGTTGTGCGAAAGACCCTCACTGTCTGGAGGGTTATTAGGCCGGACCGTAATTCACGGCTCGAATGAATCCCGGCACAGTCAGACCAGAAAGCCCCCAAATCTTTTGCCGATCCGCAAGGCCACCTGCAGCTCGACATCCACCTCTGCTTCGGAGCGTGGCCAAATGCCTGGGCCGATCCACTCCTCTCCATATATCTGACTCTAAACTGCTGGGCCTGCAAGCCCGTCTAGACAAAGAACATCGGAGAAGGTCACGCCCTGTCTTGTTGGATCGCACCTCACTCCACGCGCAAGCTACCCTCAGAAGGCCTACAGTATGTCGGAGCCCAAAGCCCATAACCTTACCGCCCTCAACGATCTACTCGCTTGCCCAGTATCCTTCGGGAACTACAGGTCAACCTTCGGGATTTATATCGGGATGACAGTACCCCAAACAGCTTCCAGGTGACCTGCTCCACTACTAAGGCCCCTTATGAAAAGCCCGGAAAACAACCAAGAACCCTTATGGAAGCCCTTATGCCTTACAGTAGGCTACCCCAATACGGACAAAGGTTACCAACTCGACTTCTAGTCTATGAACCAGCTTTCGAGGCCGAAGCGCCCACGGAAGCAATGTACAGCGGCTCAGGCCCTGCTTGTCAAGGCGGCTTTTAAGCTGTAAAATCTCGAAGAATTCACTTTTTAAGTTTTAGCCTAAAGCCCTCATCCCTTGCACCCTCAAAACCCAAACATCTAATCCCTAATTAAGGTCTGAGAGCGCCTTAAGATTCTGAGGCATGTGGGGCATCTTGAGGAGCTCTTGGATGTGCTCTGGCATCTTAGGAATTTTAGGGTTCGTTGGGGTCGTAAGGCTCGGAGGGCCTAGATAAGCCCAGGCGACATGTTCAGGGCTAACAAGCGGAAGCTGGCACTTAAACATTCATCTGGGAGACATTCCAACAAGCTGGGCCAGAAGGCAAGGAATGGCGATGGGCACATGAATCCCGAAACCTACACGCCAAAGACGGCTCCGACACGCCCAAAGTGCCAAGCTCCAGCTTCAAAACCACAAGC